ACTGCAGCTGGCTCCTTTGTTTCCTGGCTCTGCTGCTGCAAACTATTAACCACCGAAGACATATTTACAACCCATGAGTCTGACTTTAACTGCAATGAAAGTGGCAGAGAGGACTCATGTAGGAATCATCTACAGCTCAGTAACATATTGAAAGCATTATCTTTATTTCTCAAGAACATAAGTGCGATTGAAGAACCATCACCCCCCAGACTGCCCGTTGGGGGTGGGGGGTGTGGGGGTGGCGGGGTGGGGGTTGGGGGGGATGGAGAAAACATGTGTTGTCGATATGTTGTTAGCTAGTTTCATTTGGCTTTTAGCCACAACCCTTCTGTTATAACTGAAAACTATCGTAACCCCAACCTTAAAGGCCACGTTCACTGAGAAACAGTTTTTTAGTTGTTATTTTTGAAATATAATCAGTCACTCTGAGTTTCACATGCGGGCTAAACGTGAAAATAGGCTTCTAATAGTTTCCTGCATTAACCACCAATCTGAAAGAGACGAGGAAACGATTGGGTCCGAAAAAGCCACTCAGATGTACATCACACTGAAAATAAACATTCATGGAGTCATCCATCTTGGCTTATGATGGGGAAGGCTGTTGTTGATTAAGCATCCAGGACAGCAGAGAATGTCTCTAATAGTAGAAGCTAACCATTAGCATTAGCAACTCCACAACAAGGCAGAACTCCGTAAAGCATCTTTCCGGAGTATTTCTCTTATCTGATGGCACCATCTAGTGGCTGACAAGCACATCACACAAAAACTCTGTTGATTTGTTTATTAAGATGGCGACTTCACGTTTCTTGTTTGTTCTTGCTAGCGTAGCCGACAAACAGAGCTAAAACACTTTGCTTTACAAACATTATTCTCATGTCATGTTGTGTTTTCATATATTTATACTTTAAAGACATGTCTGTGAAAAGTTCATCAACTCTGCATCAGCCGAGGTACCTCCTTAAATTTGAAAGCGGTAGTCTAACGCTATTGGTTAGTTCTGGTCGCCACTCAGTTTCCTACTGCACAGAGCTCTGCGGGGCGGTGGGCGTGTTTAGTGAAAAGAAATTAAATAAAGACATATTGCTTACATTATATCAGTACATGATGAGGTAATCACTTTTATGGATTTGTGAAAAATCATAGATAATTTCTGAAAGGGGAAAACTCTGGAAAGCTACTTTAAGGCTTGTGCTATTTGTGGAGATAAAACATCAATGTTGCAGAACGACTCAGGTCAGTAACGTCGCATTATTAGCCAATCAGAGGTGTGGTCCCCCCCCCCCCCCCCAGCTAACAACTACTTCCTGAAACAGGAGCGCCAGAGCTTTTTTTCCACAGAGAACAACTCGCATTTATATCACTGACCACTGCAGATTGAATGAGTGAATGACAGCTTTGACCCATCCAAATTAGAGATGGCTGCCAAAATATAAAAGTGGCTTTACCTCAGCCAGTTTGTCTCGTACTGGGGTTGAATTTGGTATCACAAGTTATTTCAGGCACAAACCCTAACTGCTAAAAGTTCATGTAAAGCCTTGATAGTTTTTGTGAGATTGCACATGTTGCTTTTTTTCAAGATTTAACAAATTGATTGTAATGCCATCTTTTCTCAACATAAAGATTATGATCTTTGTGCTAGGCTCTTAAACCGAGATGCTTCAATATAAATACTCAACAGAATTGTGCTTTTATTATGCACCAATTATATAAATTAATTCTTACCTGGTTGAAAAGAGCATATTAGTACAAAAAAAAGTAAAAAAATAATATGTACTTAGAAATGGACATGAAATCCAATTTGATCCTCTCAATATTCAATATTTGAGCACCTTTTATTAAAATAACTGTTCAGTTATTGTGAGTTTTCCTAAAGTCAAAATGACTAAAGAGTAAAAGTGGTATGTAACGTGACTCTTGATGGCCTGATGCTATCAAAGTCAAAAAGAGAAAAGGATGAAGAGGTTGAAATTAACAACAAAGCTGTTTCCAGTTTCACTGCTGACTAAAAACCTACAATATGCTGTAGTATTTAATTGCTCATGTGGAAACATAAAAATGTCAATTTAGTCTTTGAAAATATTTTAACATTTGAATAAATACCAAACATGCATAAAAGCCCCCCAGTGTTGATTTTATGACCTACATTTATCAAACTGTGGTAATACTCGTCTCATCAGAGGAGATCTGATAACTGTTGGGAGCAGTTTGTGGCGTGTGTCACCTTGTTTGCATTAGATGGACGACAGACAAAAGAAAAGAAAAGAAAAGAACAGAAAGCATTTGGATGCACGGGCCTGAGGCGATGTGGTGGACGAGGCCTGAGCCACTCTGAACAGAGTGCATGCAGATGATAAGTCTATAAATAGAAAAATGAAACAGGAGGGACAAAAGCTATTTCCTTTCAAATGATGTAAACATTTGACTGCAACGCACCAGCTAAATCCATGTCAAAAGTATGAGATCTTGTTTAATTGCGATATGAAAAAAATCCTAAACACATTTCATCAAAATTGAGATTTTTCATCTTCTACTCAATGGTGGGAGATGTTCCAAATTTTAAAAATGCAGCAAAAATAAATGCAAAGCACCACCAAGAGAACGTGCTGTGTATTGAACAACAAATGTCAGGTTTAGAACCAGTTAGAGTTTTGGTGCACATTATTTAGCAAGTGGCAAAAAAACACATCTTTCCACTGAAGTCAGCTTCAGCAGGAGTAGAAACGGGACTTCTAATACAGAAGTCAGGCTGATAAATGTTTGCCTACGTAAAAACGCTCTTTTCTCTACGGCACTGGCGAACAAATGAAGAACACGGAGAACACACGGCTCAAAAGAGTCCGTCTCCATGTGGCTTCTTAAACCAATATCCCCACAGATGTGGGCTCATGATAAAAAGGGTTCACGTTTCACAACTTTTCTGTAATTACGCTGAAAGGACAGTTATGATGTATGGCTTTAATATGATATCCGGCTCAACTAGAAGAAATGCATGCTGCAGCTTAGCTGTTGTGAAACAATAGCATTTTACAGCATGAGCAACTAAATTCTCACTATGACTCCACAATAGCGGCACAATGTGAAACAAGGGGGTTGTGAGGATGATCTGGTGTTTCATTTATTGCGTTTTTACACCACTACAAAGGCAGAAGGGTGAATAACATCAGCCCTAGTTGAATACGTCATCAGATAGACAAGCTGAACATGCATGAGAGGAATATTTCTCTCACTCGCAAGCTAGCCCAACAAGAGCTAAATATTACAGCATCACATGTATTACAGCACTTTGCATTATGTTGCAATAAAACCTTCAAATAGCTCATGAGTGTAATTCAGTGTTGTTGTTACACTGAACTTAAGTCATGCAAAATACAGACAGATATGAAAGTGCTTGACTCGCAGCAGAATGGGGTTAATGCATTATGACTTGAAATCGGTGAACCAAACACCAGCTTGATTTTAGATCAAAAATCACCCGCATCCGATGACTGCAGGGTTGAATGGACTGAAAGCATTTCTACTGAAAGCTGAGTTACTGTATTTATATAAAAGTTAACATTTAACAACACGATCATCAACAGGATTTTCATAAAAGTCTGCAAAGCATTGCTATAAATTAGTTGTTGGTGTGGCTTCAGCTTCACACATTTTTGGTCCTCATCCAGTCTGCTCATCACACCTGTAAATTTGCTGACTTTAACAAAACCGACAGCCACATTTGAAATAATTCTGTCTGTGGTAAAAGACCCCAAAGTAAGCACAACACAAACATTAATTATGTTACTGGTCTTCGGGGTCCTTTTTCTCATCATTTGCATTGAAAGTCATTTCCTCAATGTGATGCCTTCAGAATGCAGTCCAGCAAACATCTGGCTGCTAGCATTACAAACTGCCTGCCATGCACAACAAACCACATTTGCACGCCCCTGTTGAGCTACTCATAACTCTTCCTATGCTTCAGCAGCTTTGACACTCTGCCCAAGCTCACTTGGCGCTGGACATGATGGGTCATCCCACTTTCAAATGAACCTCAAGTTCTGGATCCACAGCCGCAATTACAGACTCCAGACCAGTCACACGATCTGAACTTCATTTGGATGAGATCAATGAATTTAGATTGAAGGGGGGTGGATTTGCAATAAAATGGATGGCATTCAACAAAATGTTTAGGTCATCCTTCGAGATTCAGCCTTTGCTATTCATGTCATTTCACAATTTCTAATCTAATTAAACATTGAAATTTAGTATAAAAAAATATATATATATAATCTAAAAATAATGGCCATAATTTAGCACATTCTGCCAAACTCTTAGAATCTTCATTTTGTCTCTTTAAATGTAGATATATGGTGTTTATAAAATTGTTTAATTGTGAAAATACATTTAAAAGCCTTTTATTTTGAAGTACACACTTGATTAGCTCTAGTTATTATTACACTTGACAGGTGCTTAAATAAACTACATCATTTTCAACTTTCTTTACTGTGTATTTCTTAATACCAAGCTAACGAGTGTGTTGCCATATTGTATCTTCACATCAGAAATTCTCATCTCAGTTTCTAGCAGGACTTTCATAATGACATGGACAGGAAATGAGCACCAAAACACGAACACCGCATGCTAGCAGGTCTGTTATACCACACGCTCCTATGAGAAATAGGACCAGACGTCTTGTTGACTGAAAGAGTGCAGTTTACTTCACCACTAGAATGAAAAGAAAAAAAAACACCATACTTTGGGAACTTTATCTCATTTGGCAACCAAACCACCCCAAGTTCAAGAAAATGCACGCCCAGAGTCGCTTCCAGCCAATCATATGCGTCCTTCATGTGTAAAACCAATCAGCTTCAAGATAGGTGTGGCGCTGAAGCTGTTGCTAGGGCATGTCCCCAATGACTTCAGACAGTTTAGCCAATCAAATAGCAGCAAAGAGCTTCATTGGTGAGGACACACCTGGGACCGGCGGAGAGCCTTTTCTGATTGGATAAAGTCACGATCACTCAACTTCCTGAGTTCAGGAGCTTTATTGTAGTTTGGAGTCGCTAAGACTCAGAAGTGAACGTAGCAGCGCACATACATCGCTCTGAAACAGTTTATTTTTTACATTTTCATTCCATTATCCTATGAATTGTTTATTTGTGTAAATAGATTTTTCTATTTTTATGACGAGACATCAAAGAAGATGGAACTTAATTCTCTTTTAATTCTGCTGGAGGCTGCAGAGTATTTGGAGAGACGAGACAGAGGTAAAGGTAAAGCTGGGCTGACAGCGTTTATAGATTATTTTCTGTAGCTGTTGGGTTTAGGAGGAAGGGGTTTGAGTTGATGTTTGGGGTTTAACAACATCCACAGTGCAGGTATGATGTCACTTTTCCCTTTCAGTGGGGCACAGACCAGGCGATGGGTACATCCTGGACTCAGCAGCTTTATGCTTCAGAATAATCACAGATTAAATTTTTTATATATATATTCTACGTTTTTCTTTTTTGGGTAGATTTATTTTTTTCTAAACACACGTTTTTTGTGCTTTTAATATGCCTTATAAAATATCTGAAAAATGTGGTTGTTTAGCCTTGATGTATTTCCTATTTATTCACTCACTTTCCCCGCTTTTATGGCTTATTTATTTATCAGTTTATTTCCCCCCTTGTGATTTATTTTTGCTTTGTGTCAACAGAGGCAGAGCACGGCTATGCGTCGGTTTTACCCTACAGCAACGACTATTCCCGAAAGAAAACAAAACCTACGACAATTTCCAGAAAATCTCCGAACAACAGGTAAAATTCACCCCATTCTTTGTGTGTTTACACTCGTGACAGCTCGTGCAAACCCTCCTATATGCAGACACTTACACATATGCAGTAGTACATAAAGTGCTTTGGTGTCTGAGCTGGTCTGGGATCGGTGTTTTGGTCTCTCCAATCAACAGTGCCACGCGTACACTGTCAACTCTGCTGCCTCTGCTCAGTTTCTGTTGCTGTTAGCCTCCCCATGCCAAGAGGAGGGGCACACACACACACACACACACACACACACACACACACACACACACACACACACACACACACACACACACACACACACACACACACACACACACACACTTTACCATTCTAAACTAAGCTTACGCCTACTTGAAAGCCCTAAATGTCATTTTTTATTTTATTTCTTCATGTGGTGTTTTGTTTGGTGTCTTGTTGCTAAATGCAAGTCCTGCAGAAGATGAAACAAAGAGAAGGGGTTCGCATTTCAGAAACTGCAATCCCTTTTCCCCACACACCCAGAGAGACCATGAAGGCCTCATTGTTGCTCGATCAAAACAGCAGCTTCTCACCCGTGAGGCTTTCACGGACCTGCTGCTTCTGCCCATTACAGGCGGATATTGAGGAGCCACGTCATTACGTAACATAAAGAGCAGGTTTCAGTTTTGGTTTTCTGATTTCAGACCTGCTGGACCTGTTAAACATCAACAGCTTTTATCTACTCTTTTAAAGAGACAATGTGTAGTTTTTACTGTTTATCTCTAGAAATATCCATCCAAACGTAGTGGAAAAAGAATTCAATGTTGAAAAATATTGGCAGCTTTGTAACATAACCATGACAATCTAGTCTGAAAATACACGGTGGTGGGTCTAAGTTTCTGGGCAACGCCATTTTAGACACCTCTGTCTTTGGGAGCTCGTGAAGACAAAACACATCTACTTATTTGTCACAAACGGTTTTTAAAACTTTCGCCGTTCATAAATGTTGTTTTACACATTTACCTCTTCACTCGTTGCCTGTGATGAAAGGGAGTATGATGTGTTTGTCATTTTGCTGGAGGTTGTGCTCCCAGGGATTTTTGACCCTAATGGCTATCCATTGGTAAGGTCTCACTCGAACACAAAAATATCAGATGCTTGCAACGATTTAGGCAAGTACCGCCCCCTATCGCCAGGGAAACACACGCAGTCACTTGAAACTTTAAAACATTGAACTTGGGATAGACCGATAGATCGAGACGATATTTACCATTTTTGATACGTCACATCTGCCGATAAACCGCTTTAGTAATGCCGATTTAAAGTCGGGCACATTCTTGGGCAGTCTGGTGCTGCCGCAGGGTTTTATTTGAATGTACGTTTACGTTCTTGAAAACATCTGCTTAGTCAATGTTCAACTGACGTTTCTTTATGTTTACCGTATTTTTTGTATTTATTACTTGATCCGTTCGTCGATTTGTTTGATTACCTTTGGGTAAATGTTGGTTCTTATACTGCGCCGTGTACAAAATCAAGATCCAAGAGCTGGTTCGATTCTGACATTCAAGACTGATCACGTTCAGAAATGTTGTGCTTCCACTTTTAATGGTGACATTTTAGCATGCAGACACGGTGGAGAACAACTAGATTTTGGCCACAAAAATCGGCAGCACATATCGGCCATCGGCTCATCTTGATTTCTACATATCGGTATCAGCATTAGAAAAAGCCATCTAGGTTAATCTCTATTTAGAACTGTTACATTTAGGTTTTATATGTTTTTGTAACATTTTCAACCTGATTCATGTTTCTGTTGATTCTTTGAAATCATAACTTGCCAGTGTGAGCTGGCCCCTACTTAATTTATGTTTTATTTAAAAAAACACCTAATCTAGATTTGATAAACTGCACAATTTACTCAAAATAGATGTGGCGCGATATTTTACTCACCTTTTGACTCACTTTTAATTCACTGTAATTGCTAAAAACAGAATTGAGACAATAGGTGGACCGTCCCGTTTCTGTGTCACGAATGGATGGTGTGAGACGCGCCCTGAGCAGGCATCCTATCCGAGGTTACACGCAAGCTCCCATTCAGGCTGATCTAGTCCAGGTGTGCCGTATGGATCCTCTCTGTACATCAAATGACCCGGTGATTCAGAGGAAAACAGTTTGAGCGTGAATGACGTTGGCTTAACCAGGTAGGAGGTGGGAGGACGGTGGGTGTAGAAGTGAAAAGGGTCGTCCTAAATAAGAACGCAGCACTTTCCACGTTCGTTTTTCACTCTAACAAGGGGATATGTTTGTTTATTACATACGAGTGTGTGTGTGTGTGTGTGTGGATGTGCCCGCAGGGCGTGGTGGCCAAAACACACACCTGTGCCACGGGGCAAACACCCACCCACTTGATTTATTTTCTTCCTGGTGTTTTCGTGACCAGCCTGTTGGCAAACATCACAACCCTATTTGTGTTTACCTGCAGCTTTTTTTGTAGACATGGACAGGATGCTTGAGGTTAGTGGTGACGGACGGTGAAGGAAAAACGTTTTCTCATACTTTAACTCAGGTTTTCTTTTTTATAACTAGAACTTTTTCTCAAAGAGTCATTTTGATGCTAAAATCTGCAGCTTTCCTGACACTAAAATGACTTGGAACGCAGTTGCTGTTTGCTTCAAAATAAATGGAATAAAAAAATAAAACCGCTAGTAAAGATGCTGCTGAGTTTCTCCTCAATTAGTTCCTTTTCCTCTGGCCTTTCCTCTTTTGTTTTGCATGTCACATAATGATCCTTTACATAACAGGCAGAGGTGTGTGTTCACCTCGCGTTGCCGTGGATCCGTGCGGATTCCCTTCCTCTGGATGGTTTCCTGGTCGTGCCTTGTGCTTCGACTGTGACATGTCCCCTGCTTGTGCTAGTTTGAATACCAACTTTCTTCATGATGGAGCTGAGCTCCGTTTTAGCTCATGGGCGGTGTGAAATTCTGCGTTCCTTCCAGGGTGATTTTTGTGCCGCTGTAAAACAGCGTTGTCCCTCAGATGCTGGGGCCCTTTTCCTCGGCGCAGCTGTGGGAAAACCACTGCTTCGCCAGCACAAGAGCTCTCAAACAGCGGAGAGTCTGAAAAGGCTTGTTGTCCGTCTGGCTCTTTGTTGTTCCTGTTTTTGTTTTTATTGCCGTGGTATCCATGACGGTCTCATGAACGGAGGGCCTGTTTCAGGCGGACAGCGTGTCATAATAGGGGCTGTCCTCGGAATAGCCCACACGCTGAGGAATTCTGCTGAGCGTCTGAGCCTCCAGACGTCTGAGAGTGTTTTTATTCTGTCCTCTCTGCTGCCGCCCGGCCAGCGTGCAGCAGCAGGGCTGTTTTTCCTGGAGGAGGGCTGTTGTGCGGCGTCACACATTCAGCTCTCACCCAAGACTATTTTTGCTCTTCCTGGACGTGCAGAACTGGGAAGAATTTCAAAACATCAGGCTCAAAATACAGAAGTGTTTGTGAGAATTTTGGATTTGCAGGTGTCTGGAACCGGTCTCAAACCTTTCTCACATCAGTTTCCAAAAAAAAAAAAAGAGTTGCAGACTAGGGCAGCACGATATTAGGAAAACCTGCGATTTTAAATAACAATGATTAATATTGCGATGATATTACTTGCGATAAAGAAAAACTTAACTCGGGAACAAAAATAATCAAAAACAAAGAAATAAACAAATCATAAAAATGAGAAAAGCAAAAGATGTGAAGAAAGGGAAAAAGAAAATGAACAAGAAAAGGCAATCAGCGGATCCCGGGATCAGCAGAATCAGCAGAACAAAGCTGAGTCAGGTGTTTGCTACCCATCAGAATGAAGGGCCGTCCGCCTCGGGGGCGGGCATCTAACTTATGAGAACACACCCAATTGGCCAAACGGGTGAAGAGCTCTATTTGATTAGTTAAAACATCCTCCTGTTTGATCGACAGAATGCATTATGTTTAGCAAACATTTGAGCTGACCATTCATTTCGATATTGATCTGTTCTTTGCGATATGCATATTTTGCATGCTGATATCGTGATAATGACATATTTACGATATATTGTGCAGCCCTATTTCAGACGTATTTAGTGAATGACATCTGCACAAATTTGTTCTTTCATCACGATTCTGCGTCTAATTGGCTAGATACTCGCCTCTTTCTGAGCAATTTAGTCTTTATATTAGGGATGCACGGTACATTGGCATCATTATCGGTATTGGCCGATGTTAGTCATTTTTTAACATATCGGTATAGGTCAGTGTTGGTCATTTTATAGAGAGAAAGCAAGTCATGCTTGCTGTTATGGACGATAACAGATATTTCCCAAAATAAATATAAATGTGTATATTTCAGGAAATATCTTTTATCGCCGATAACTGCAATATTAATATAGAATAGAATTAAACTTTATTGTCATTGCACATGTACAGGTACAGGGCAACGAAATGCAGTTTGCATCCATCCAGAAGTGCTTTAGCCGTGATATAGATGTATTACAATATATATTAGCAATAATGTAGATGTGTAAGTATATTACAGAATGGATCTATTACGTATGTTATAATGCACACGGTATGAAGTATGTTATGAATATGCTATGACTATAAGTATCTACAGGCTGTAGTTAATACAAGCAGTCCATGAGTTTAACGTGGGTCTTATGTCAGGAGGCAGAGTTCAGGAGTCTGACAGCTGTTGGGAAGAAACTGTTCCGGTACCCGGTGGTCTTGGTATACTATGATATCAGATATCAGTATCGGCCCAAAATTTCTTATCGTTGCATCCCTACTTTACAATTCACATTTAGTGTCACAAACACACAAGTCAGGTCTGTAAGTTGTGTAGGAAAGCCAAAGGGCACAAAACAGAAGTGAAATATGAGAGAGTAGCTTGATATGGAGATGCATTTGTAAGGTCTGCTTTACTGGCAGGTGGCAATGGATTGTTTTAAAGGGCAGGTTCACTGACAAACATTTTGTTTTACTCATCATCTTTGAAAAAGATCAGTGACTCTAAGTTTAACGTGCAAGTTGAATGCTTAAGTAGTGTTCTGCCCCTGTTTCCTGCATTAGCATCTGATGGAAAAAAGACACTCGGTTCAGAAAATCCTGACAGATCTACGTCACTGTGTCATTTAACACTCATGGACTCACTCATCTTGGATCACGCCGAAAATCGCTGTTGTTGGTTTAACGTCAGGAAACAGCAGGGAACGTCTTGAGTAGTTGAAGCTAACCGTTAGCATCCACCACACAGCATAAATCTTTCAGGCCTGTGTTATTTGTGGAGTTAAAACATCAACATTGCAAAACAAAAAGAGTCAGTGGTAGAGTCCAGTTGGGTTTAGCCAATCAGAGGCAAGATGTCCAAACATCAGGAAATAAGACTCCAAATCCGGCCATCTTAAGTCACTTTCTCCCCCAGCGGACTTCTACATCTTTAAGCAGGTGCACCGGAGCTTTGTTTTCCCCAGAGAACAACTTGCAAGGCATTCATTCCTACTGGAGACCGTGTTAAATAGGAAAAGGCTGATCTTTACTGGGTCATAAATCATCAGATGTTCCAGATTGTGTTCACAACAAGATGCTAAACTTATGTGTGTATTATAAAGAAATAAATCATATTGAGCTCATTTCTTCTTCCTCCGAGCCGCTGACATGATTCCAACGTTGTTTTGAAACACGCCCTCGCTCTGTGAGGTTTAATGAGCGTGAGGCTAAACGAATCAGCTGGATGGGTTCCTGAAAGGGTTTCTGTTGGAGCAGACAATGGCAGCGGGCCGTCTCATCGTTTTCTTTAGGAAGCACCTTTGTTTGTCTGAGCTCTCCTGAAGAGGACTTGAACTTCCACCGTCTGTGTAACGTCTGTCTCGCTGTGAACGGGGTGAAGCGCACTCTTCTGTAACCTTTGACCTTGACTCTGTTTGTCACTCACCAGTGGGGATTATTGAAGCCACAGCATGTCTGACTCATTTAGTCTTTTTTAATAAAAATCTGATCATGTTTCACGTCAGGTTTGTGCAGAAACACAGGAAGCGTTCACGCATCGCTGTTCTGAAACGCATGCACATACCTCTGCATGGTTGAGTTCAGTTTTTTTTATTATATCCAGTTTGCAACGGTTGAATCTTCTTTAAATTTATTGTACTTTTGCTTTTCTTATGAAACATTTAACTGTACATCAGCTCCGAGCCACATGAAGGCCTTTCTCTGAGCGTTTTGATCTTTTCCTCCACCAAACCTCTTATCCGTCCAACGTCAAAGATCAAAACGTTTAGCTGTCATTATCACAGAGATTAGATTCATTTTTCGTTGCTATTTTCACTTTCCACCCTGACACACATCTTCTCCTCTTTCAGGTCATCGCACAACGAACTGGAGAAACACAGGTAAGCTTAAATCGGACGCTCCGCCACCTTCCCCCGTCTTTAATTTTTGCCGTGTTGCTGAGCTGAATCGATTCTTACTGTCAGATAATTCCTCTTCGTTGTGAACGGCCCAGCATGGCTGGACAGATCAGAGGTCGTCTTCAAAGAGCCGGAGATTTATTGAATTAATTCTGAAAAAGAGGTAACGAGTGGATTTCAAAGAGCGGCTTGAGGTCCGCTGGATCTGTTTCACGGATGAGATCCAATGTCCTCCTTTGGAAGGAGAATCCTGTCAGAAATGCAGTAATCCTGCCCAGAATAGCGCTGTGAACGGAGGCGTGCTGAATCTGGAGTTGTTTCTACAAACTCACAACTCCACAGATGGCACGCTCTGATACTGCTCTGCTGTTCCCAACATGCACCACACTGCCGCTTGTGAATTATTTTGTTGTTGTCGTTGTTCACGACTCGTGGTGCTTGCACGAAAAACACATTTGACGATTTTTGCTCGTTGTTGAAAACCGTTGAAATGAATGTAAACAGGAAAAAGTTCTTTTTTAGGAGCTGAAAACATCATTTAAATGTGAATGTTGGATGGGTTTGGGGTTCCTTTTGATTCCCAGCAGCTCACATTTGAAACTCCTTCCCTTTGTGGGTTTAGGAAACAGCTGACGTGACTTCCAGCATGTGAGCCAAGGCTGAAATGGGCATGTTAGGGCCGCTCGCGTGTGTGACACACTGTCCCTCACGTTGATTGCTTGGGGTTTGCCAGTCACATGTCTGCGAGTGAGTAATGGTGTGTGTGTGTGTGTGTGTGTGTGTGTGTGTGTGTGTGTGTGTGTGTGTGTGTGTGTGTGTGTGTGTGTGTGTGTGTGTGTGTGTGTGTAGCAGGATGGGGAACAAGTAGAGACATATCCCTCTCTGACCTGAGAGTCGGACGCCCTAGAGTTGAGACACATCGGTTACCTCACATCCAACGATGGGTGTGGTTGGTTACCAGATAACTGATGTCCAGTCAAACTGACAAAATCAACTCTTCCTTAACCACCTTACTCACTTCCCGTTGTCATCACACAGCAACATTAAAGCCTTTTAGTTCCCCTTTCATTCTGATTCCATGACGCAGGACTTTTACCACATCTTTCATAAGAAGTGACTTAATTTACAGTTTGAGTTTGCCTGGAAAATTTAACTCCATCCACGTGTTTGTGATGCAAACCATCCTCCAGTGGGTTTTGTGATCCTTTGCAGCACATTGAGTCAAATCCCTGTCCGAACCTGCTGCCCTTCAGTTGCCTGGTCCGACGCACACGGGCTAGATGTCGGATGTTAGCACACACTAATGTGTGTCACCATACTTAAACAAATGAAAGACATAACCACGATCTTAGGATTTCAGCTCTCATCAGCCAGCATCTTTAAAACTGTTTTTATAGTCTTTATGCTTTGATCTTTTCAAGTGGAGTTCTGTCGAAAGCCTACGAACCATGATAGCTCCTTCTATGACATTAGATTATTTATTAATTGAACATATTAACTACATACCAAAGCAGAGAGATCATGAAGTCATTTGAAGGAACCGTTCTGTCAGATGGAAAATAGAAAACGACCATTTCCGCCAGGATAATTTAGACGTGACGCAACTTAAGCCTGACTGCTGCTAGCTGCGTCCAAATTCAGGGGTGGCATCCTCGTGAGGACTCGTCCAACCCGGTCCGCGTAGATCCGGTCTTTCCTCGACCTCTCGGGCTGAAAGTGAGCAGCTGTTTATTTGGATGGTCCAGCCTTCATTTATATTTCCGCCCCTACCTCAGCGTGAGTCTTGTAGCCCACCAGCTGTGACGGCGCTAAACAGAAGCTAAAACTAAACTAAAAGTGCTGAACCAGTCAATCTAGCTACTTTATGAGTACTTTTCTAATAATTTTTGACAAAAAAACATATTTAATGAACAAATATACTCATGAAAAACACCCAATGCCTATGTTTTTTACAGCCAGTTATTAATACACCACCATTTAATGCCGTAATCCTCTTCCGCTTCGTCCACCATTATTAACGAAAAACTCCCATTCGCCTCACAACGAATCCTGGAATAGCTGTAAGGATTCACTAGACCGGTTCTTGGAATTCAGGGTAAATGAGGACGCATTCAACGTCCCTTTAGTCATCACGCACTGGAGAAATTCATTGCTGCATTTGACCCATCCTCGTGGGGAGTGGTGAGCTGCAGCAGTGGCTGCGTTCAGGAACCATTTGGTGGTTTAACCCCCCAATTCAACCCCTTAAAGCTGAGCGTCAAGCAGGAAGGCATTGGGTCCCATCTTTAAGGTCTTTGGTGTGACCCGACCAGATTTGAACCATGATCTCCCAGGACGGACACTCTACCACTAGACCACTGAGAAGTATTTGGTGGGTATTTTGAATGTGGACAACCTTGTCGCTTCGCTGTGGCGTAACTGGCCTTAAAATGCATACTTGAAATCTCAACACAGTTGTTCATGAAAATAAACTAAGACATGCTAAAGATATGTAATTAGTTCATTTTTTGGGCATATTTGTGAGTTGGTCATTTACACCACATTAGCATTACTAGTGCTTGTTGACATGGGGTCTCCAACGCATCCATACGTTACCAGTGCTTTAAGTGGGCCAGTACGCACCAGTATGTAGTGCCGGCGCTTTAAAACTTGACCTCACAGCATACTGAGAGATTGTCTAGCGTACGGTGCATACTGGTAGTTTGTTTGGTCATTTAAAATCTCCAAAAAAAAGTCCATCAGTCCATCCTAGGGCTGGGCGATATGGCCTAAAATTAATATCACGATATATTGAGGATTTCACCTCGATAACGATAAATGGACGATAACTACGGGTATGCACGGAAACAAAAGTTGTCCACCAGACGGGGCTGTCACATGTTACGCTGAGTCACATTTTTTACGTGACTCAAGGTGGTACATCTTCTTAAAGGGACACTAACGTTGCCAACTTACACACATCTTTTCATTTTTTATTATCAAATTTAGTGACGTGCGAAAAATTATCACGATAAGAGTCAGAAATTTCGATAACGATAAATTTTCGATTTGTTGCCCAGCCCTAGTTCATCCTTGGGTAAACAACAGCCATTCATGGTAAATGGCCTGTATTTGATATAGCGCCTTCTAGAGTCCTGGAACCCCCCAAGGTGCTTTACAACACAACCAGTCATTCACCCATTCACACACACATTCACACACTGGTGGTGATGAGCTACGATGAAGCCAAAGCTGCCCTCCCAAGCTCCCATACAGTAAACGGAGGTCGGAGGGGCTCTTCCCCGTTCGTTATTCGTATGACCTCGCCCCACTAGAACCTAGCAGAACCACGGCTGCGTTACTAAAAATATTACTGTTGCCGCTGCTTTGTTTACTTGATATGTTACTACATCATTTATTGCGCAATAGAAAAATTATACAACCCATTTAAAATCTGCTTTTTATTGTAAATATTTTGACACATCTCTCTTAAGGGTAATGTTTTTACACAAGCTAACAGCTAGGCAGAGATAATACTTCTAGGAAAAGTCAAACTGACTGAAGATCAGCAGTGGTCTAGTGATATGAACACAAGCTAAATGTAAAAGCATCACATGGCTTTAGCTGAGCACTATCTTTTAGTCCTCATTGTTCAAAGTGATTGATATTCTTGAGAATTGCCTGATTTCTTTGAACTCCCAACGAGGACGTTTGAAAAATTCCTCCTCTGCTGCACATTCACAGTAAAACCAAAAGCGTCACTGTTGTCCTGTTCAACCAGTTCACCGAGTGCATGTTTAGAGCATCCTCTTAAAGCCTCAGCCCTGTTTAATCTCCAGCAAATCCAGTATCGCCACGAGATCTCGGCCTCCATCACGCCCTCAGACGCCTTGCCAGGGTGGTGCTGCTGTTTGGGCCCTGACTCACTGTCTTTGCTTTGTCATGAGTCGTGCCTTTTTGGTCGGAGCACAGACTCATTCTTGTCCTGCAGTACGTTCACGAGGCGGGCAAGGTGACTGAGGAATGTCTGGGGTGGACGCTGGCAGGCATCGTGTGCGATCTTGGGAGTCGGGCTGGGCGGACGTGTAACTGAAACGAGTCGATACCTGGTTTTCAGCACCGATTCATCTATTTGTCAATATTTGCTGTCAGGCTAAACATTTTTGTGCTAACGCTAATTCCAGCTACTTTTCTTTCTTTTGCCAGTTAAACAATAGCTGTTTTCATTTGACTGGTGCAGGAATATAATTTATTTATAATTTATTATTCTTTGAAATTCTAAAAATTGATAAATATTCACAAGCTCTTAACGTTAAATAAAGTCCTAATAGTGGTGATAATAGTATTTATGCTTGCAAAAACAGATGATGGATCAATCAGCCAGTTGCTTTAGTTTTTGGAGAGTTTCTACTCCCGGTGAGTTTTTCGTCCTCAGGCTGATCATATGCCTGCCGTGTGTCTGTCAGTGCTGCCTTTGCAGACAGTCAGGAGGCACCCTACATTTATTTATGTCCTGTTATCAGAGCGAGTCGTCTGCTGGGTCACACGGGGTCATCTGTCCCTGCACGGCCTGCTTATCTGCCTCAGCCTGAGTGGAGCTGTGACGGCTCCGTTTAGACCACCTTAATGATGATTCTGCTGTTTTGTTTTTAATAAATTGACCCGCTTTTTTGCTATTCACTTGTTAAATCTTCCATTTCATCACGTTCTTTTTATTTGCTACTCCTCCCGTAGCGTTGAAAAAAAAAAATTCAAAGTGACGGGTAAAAAACTTTTTGGGCCCTTTTGATCCCCACAAAGTTTTCTATTGGTTCACACAACAAAACATTGAAATGTATTATTTTGATCAGTGTGTGTCTCAATATTAGAGGATTTAAAGTTTTCTCATAAATCAACACCTAAAAAGTTTCTCACTTCTCCCTCCTACTGGTTGAAAGCAGAATTACAGCTGTTGCAAACAAGCCTGCTGTAGCTAGCGCTAACCATGAGCTAATGCTAACATG